ATATTCCCAGCTCGGTGAATCATGCAGCCTCCTATGCAAACCCTTCCAGGTCCATTGGGATGCTCCCAGCCGTTTGCTGGGCCCGTCCTGCCCTGCTGGGGAGGGGACCCTGCTTCTGACTTCCAGTCTGGATTTATCCAGGGCCAATTCAACCCCATCTCCTGTGCCAGCGCTGTCCTGCATAGCTTACATTAGCTCCTCTCCCTCCCCGATGTTTACCCCTTCGATGTATTTACACAGAGCAATCAGCTCAGCTCCCAGCCTGCCCTTTGCTAGACTAAACAAGCCCAGCTCTCCCTGCTTCCTCTCCCGCCACAGCCTCTCTCTTCCTCTCACCATCCCAGAGCCCTCTGCCCGCATCCCCCTGTCCTGCACCGGGCTCAGCTCCTGCCACTCCATCCCGCAGAGCTAATGAATAAGCTAACGGTGCTAATTGGAGCGGGTGGGTGGGCTGAACGGGAAACGCTCCCGTGATTGCAGCCACTCCCTCTGGCCTGCCTGCGCTTCGCTCTTTACCTGTATTCAAAGGGTATTAAAAGAAAATTAACAAGCCCTGACTACATAAAAGGAAGCTGCTGAATTTACAACCCAGCCTGCAGCTAGACCACCTTGCCTGCCGAGCAGGTTTGGACCAGGCCAAGTCTGCCATGGGAAACCCACTGACAGGGAGGCTGAGGGGTGTTGGGAGAGGGGGATCCAGCCCTGTTTGTGCTGCAGCAGGATCCCTGGAATGTGGGCACTGCCCTCCTGCAGCGGGACCCCGGGCTGGGGGCTGCCCTCCCGCACTCTGCGGATCCCAGCACAACCGAAAATCCCGTGCCAGAGGCAGGGTGGCACCTCTGCAGCCTGGGGCAAACGCAGCCCTGCTCCTTGTAATCTCATCTGCTGTTTTGTGGGAACTGCAGCACTTCAGCCCCCTGAGCTGTGGCTGGGAGACCGAGGCGGCTGCACGTCAGCGGCAAACGCGGCGGTCGCGGGTGCCTGGACTCTCTCTCGGGGGAACCTCCCGTCCAGCACCGCTCTGTGGTTCATCTTTGGCAGTTACACACCAAACTCATCTAAGGGACATCGCAAACGTAAATGAGAGGAGCAGAAAAGCAGTTTAAAGATAGTCACAGAAGCCTGAAAGCAGGCAGGAAACCCATCTCGAGCGTGTTCCTTCCTTTGAGGCTGAAGCTGAATCCCACAATATGTTTTCTTCCCACTAATGCTTGCCTAGCTTCCTTTGGAAACAATTTAGCCTCTGCCCATGGTAGAATGTTTTTATCCATTAAGAAACGGATATTTTAAAGAAACCATAAGTCAATCTGGACAGGGATTAGGAAGCAGCAATTCAGTGTATTTGCTGGGCCCATAATTCAGGATTTAACCTCAGAGCAGCCACGTTGCATTTCGGAAACAATAGGGCACTCGCTGCCTATGCCAAGAGGCTTCTTAAAAGTAATGTAATACTTTAAAACTGTATATTTAAAAAGAAAAAGAGAGAGAGAGATTTTACTTTAAATGCACATGGTGAAGCATTCTGCTGATGACTGGCCCTAAGTAATGGGCTGGGAGTGAAGCTGGTTAAAGCTGAGCAGTTTCCAGATCAGGAGAGCTGAAGCTCTTCACCAGCAAACACAACGTCTCCCCAGAACCACTGAGCAGACACCAAAGCTGGGAGAGGCAGGACGGAGCTTGCAAAAGGCTCCAGCGTTTACTGTTGTCTCTGTGAAGTTAAGGCAGTTTGGTTTCGCCGGAGCAAAGGGGGACGTTAAGTGCATTAATCCAAACAGCTCGCTCTGGTACCGAGTAGATCAAATTTAAAATCACTTTGCAATTGTCCTCGTGTGCGCAAGGCCCCTCCGTGTCGCTGGACAATGCACACAATTGCTTTTGAGTGGTTGAAGATGTTTCCACCACAAAGCGAGAAGGCAGGCCCGGCTGCGTGGGCGGTCCTGCTCTGCTGCAGTGGGAATAAAATGGTTCAGCACAAACCGCTGCCGAAACACGGGCGAGGGCGAAGAACTGGGGGCTTCCCCCTAGGATGACGTGTGTCTGTCACCATCCCACCTCCCCAGAGCAAGGGGGCCCCGAGAAGCAGCTGAAGGCAGACAGGAGCAAGCTCCTTTGGCATCTTGCTTCGCTTTTGGGAGCTACTTGATTTTTTTTTTTTTTTTTTTTTAAGCTAGAAGGCGAAACTCGGAATAAAGCAAGCACGCAAGGCTCTGGCTTCGCATGCCCCGTAATAAGGAACCATTTCGAGCCATCCTAATGACAGCGTGGTGTCTCGCTGAGGAGATGGCAGAGCTGGGATTTCAAAACCTCAGATTTTCCAGACCTCACTGGAGAAGCACTGGGCCAAGTCCTCAACAGAAGCAAGCGGCCCTGCTCGGCTGAAGCCAGGGAAGCCGTGCTGGATGATGATAAGGGTCTGCACAGCTACTAGGCCAGATTGGCAACACAGCTACACCAAAGCAGCACGAGTGGGAATGAAATCTGGTGTGTGGAGGGTTGCAAATGTCAGTCCTGTTGGGTATAGGCGTAGAAAGGGATAGATTCTCTGCTCATCTGAGCGGGGCAGGGCAAGGCTGAAGCCACTGAGATGCCACCGAGATACCCTGACGCTGGGCATGGGGAACCAGCACGAGAGCAGGATGTGACCTCCTTGGCCACGGAGCTGGGCGCGCTCTCCTCCCGTGTTTCCTGGCATGTCCTTCAGAAACAATCAGTTTTCTCTTACCGGGAGGTTTTTGGTTTTGAGGCCATTTAACCTCAAGGCGATCATTTTACACGGGGTCTATTTATAACCTCCAGGGGCTGCTTTGCTGAAAGCCTCTGCGGATGGCTGAGGGCCAGACTCTTCTCCCACTTTCACCAGCGTCCTTGCCGTGATCTCCACTGGCCACGGCCCTCCCTCACGAGGAGGAAAGATTGGACCAGGCCAGAGCAAACACACCTCCAGAGAACCCCAGTTCCTCCCAAAGATAAACACTGTCTCCTACGTGCCTTCCTGCCTCCAAACCCCAGCTCCACGTGCTGTATTTCAGGGATTTGAGGTGCCGGAATCCCCCCTCAGCGGCCAAGGCTGTCTCTGAGCATCCCAGCTCCCCGCCTGGTTTTGCCAGAAGCGGATTAGGAAGAATTTGTGCAAACTGCTTGGTCAGCAGAACTGGGAGGCCAACCACCTCCAGCACACGAGCGGAGAGGGCTGCTGGGCACCCGTGGAGGGAAAACCTGCCCCTCTGGCCCCCTTTCAATCCCTGCACAGGGACGCTAAAAACATGACGGTTGGGAAGCACCCACAGAAAGGACAGTGGGGGCCGGATGAACTCCAGCCTGTCCCTCCTAACCGGTATCTCCTTATGCTTTTCACTAATCAGCTTCTCATGTGTGTTACCCAAGAACGTGCCAAGTCGTGAGAATTACAGGCCTGTTAACTCCTGTGTTGTTCTTGGCACGGGCCGGGCTCCACTTGCTCGGGTAAAAATTATGATCTTTGTGAATAAGCCATGTGTGTGTGTGTGAGAGAGAGAAAGAGGGTTTTTTTGTTTTTTTTTTTTTTAAATTATGATTATGATTGGTTATAGCCGGTGTTGTGTCAAAAGGACAGGGCTGAGATTAAAATGACTGGGAGCTGACCCTGCTCCCAGCTATGCTGGTAAGAACCCACAGTCATTTTAAGACAGTTCCTCAACTTGGGAACAAGGGAGCCAAGAGCAGAGCGTGCACGAACCGCCTTTTGCAGCATTCCTGGTAGTTTGGATTCACTCCGCAGGAATGATTTTAGATGGCTAATTTTGTGTGTCTCCACTCCTGCTGTCACTTGACATTTGGGATTTTGGCACGGACGGCAGCTTGTGGCCAATTTCATTTTTTTTTTCCTCCTTGGATTTGTGTCATCACCTGATCCCTCGCTCCAAACAACGCTCTTTGGGTTTCTGGCACTGCATGGGGTTGTGCTAATTTAAAATACAAATCTTTTCCTCTTACCCAAGAACCTCTTTCTTTATGACGCAGCCAACGGGATGAGCCTAGAAAACTCTCTCTCTCTCCCTCTCTTTCTCTCTCTCTCTCTTGTTTTTTTTTTTGAAACAAAAATCAAATGATAATCCTACCCAAAATGCCCGTGTTCTTCTCATAAACCGTGCTAATATCAATGAAAATTCCAAGCATGGAGATTTGCATTTCATTGAGAAATAAATTAAATTTTCACTGCAATTTTGGGCTGGGAGGAGCGGGGCAGCTTTCGCGGTTCAGGTAACGTTTTCAAACATGTTTTTGCACCCCAGACACCCTCTTTGCCAATGACACTGAGGTTTTCAAACATCTAACGTCACTTCTGAAAATGCAACAGAAAGGCTTCTGGGCACTTTTTATAGGAAACCTTCCAAGAAGGGCCACTTTCGCGTCAAAACTCAATATGCAGACAGTTTAAATACTATTCCTGAAATCCCTGTTGGTATCTCTGCTGATTTCCAAAGGAAAACACCAGCGAGACCTAAAAATGCGCACGAGTGAGCCCAGGCAGGTGTGCATACGTGTGGGGAATTATGCTGGAGCTGGGCGATGGATCACCAGACTTGGCATAAACACAATGCAGCGAGATAAGAAACCATTTGGATTAGCATGTAAAGTACGAAACACCCTTTCTAGTTGATGCATAACCATAACGTGGGTGCCTTCATGTCAAAGAAGCTGCTGGGTTCAAAGTGTGCTGCTCTGATCTCTCTCGCATTCCTGCTGCAGCTCCTCAGCTTTTCCTACGAGCCCCGATCTGATGGTGCAAAGAGTGATTTCATGGGTGCAAAATGACTTCCAAGGCCAAGAAATCCGAGCAAACCTCCCCCCTGGCCTGTGTCCCTGCAGGGTTCCTTACCCAGGGGAGAGCTGGACTCCAGCCCTAAAATGCCATCTGAAGGGAATCTTGTTTGGCCAGGGAGGCTCCGCTCCCTGCCCAGCTGTGTTGGGAGCGTGAGGCTTTGGGGTGTAACGCCAGGCTGGGGCACCCAGCCAGTTACCTTGGATCGGAGTCTGGGCCTGGGACCCGAAGTGGCTCGGGGTGCTGAGGGATCCGCGGGGGTTGGGTGTTGTCGGGGTGACTCTCATGGACTGGCGCAGCCGTTCCAGCTCCCCGTAGCGGTCGGTGAAGGGTTTGGCTTGGTCTTCCAGCTTTTGTCTGTGCCCTGGAACGCGATAAAAGAGTCTGATATCTGATCAGTTCCCCTTTGGCTACGGCACCCTGGTTACACACAAAGTCAGCGCAGCCTCTGTCTCCGCGGTTTGCTGATGTTCACATGGGGGTAATGGGTGGCGGCCCCGGCAGAAATCAGCTGGAAGAAACCCCATCTACTGGCAAAGAAGTGGTGAATGGGGAACCAGCAAAGGAAACACTGAATTTAAAGTATTTTCTGCAGTATTTGCTCAGCGCGCAAAGAATAAACTCTTGTCTACTCCCCCTCCCAGCTCTGCCCACCCAAGGGGGTCAGGGCCAAGCGGAGCTGGAGAAGGCACAGGAGGAGGGATGGGAGCAGCCTTGGTACCACACCTTGGCCACCTCACTTTGCTTCTTTCTGTTCCTCTTTTCCTACCCGTAAAACGGGGAGACTAATCACCCACCTCCCCCAGGCAGGGCAGCAGCTAATGAGCGTTTGTAAAGCACTCCCAGCTCCTTAGGTAGCAGCTGCTGGCACAGGGCAATAATTATTAAATTTATGCTAATTGGCCCGAGGCAAGAGGCGCATGAAATACACTTGATACATAACTTTCGCATTTTACTATATTAATCATCGCCAAACGGCTTCACTCTCTCTGGGCCCGATTCCAGTCTCAGTTACACCCGCACAAAGCTGGAGGGGCTCCAGGGAAGCCGGAGCTGCCTCGGTTTTACATCAGTGCCGGGGTTCAGACCTTGGATTCTCCTTGGGCGCAGCCAGACGGCCGTGCAACACCCCCAGCTCTTTGCACCTGCCATGAAAGGACCTTCCCGAGGTGGCAGCCGCCTCATCCCGCCGTAATCCGAGCGCAGGCCTCGGGGGCACTGGAGGTGTGCGGGCACGCCGGGGAGATGGGAGAGGAGCTGGGAGGAAACCTTCTGCAGCGCTTCAGAGAGCTGGGCCTTATCAGATCCTACGGCCCAGCATCCACTGAGTCAGGCTCAGTTCTTGGTGGCTTTTAAGAAGTGACGCGTTTAAAAGGCGATAAACGCAGCCACCTCTTGCTCGCGCCCTCCTTCCCTCCCCCCTCACATCTGCGCAGCCTGAGCCCTGTGTCAGTTGGTAGCAAAGTCACAGAAAGTCCCCAGACTTCCCCCTCTTTAATAATGCCTTGTGTCTCCTGATCTCCAGAGGGGTTCTCACACTCCCTGCCGTGGCATCGCTCCCAACAGCAAACCACCCCTTGCCGCGGTTTCTGAAGGACTCTGACCCTCCTCTGTGAGCTCCACACCCAGGAGAGCCCTGCCATCCCCTCCAAACTCCATAATCCCCAGCCTTCTGGGTGTGTAAAAGTCCAAACCGATGGAAAACGGGCTGAAACCAGAGAGCAAAACTTGTTGAGGACAAACCCCATCAGAAAGCAAAACCCGGCGGTGTTTTGCAAATGTATTTTCCCTGCTGTGTTAAGTAAACCAAGGAAACCTCAAAGCAACACCATAAATGATCTCTTCTAGTCTCTGTGTGTCCCCAGACCTCAGGCACCTCTGCATTATCCGAGGCCTTCAGAGCCATGAGCAGCATCTGTCACATGGCATTTGTGCTTTTCCCCAGGGGAAAAGTGTGTGCAGTGAGGTGTCTTGTTTTGGTCCCCACTTTATTACTTCAGCCTACATTTGAGCACAGAAGAAGAAAAAAATAGGGTTATGTTTCACCTCTAACCACTTTCTTCAGGCAGAGCGTGGCAGGGGGGCCAACAGGACTTCAGAGACCAAGTTCCCCAGAAAGTTAATGGAAATCAAATTCCCTGCCTCCGTCTCGGCACAAACCCTGTCCTGGGGTGGTATCTGGCATGTGACGGAGAAAACACTGAAAAATACATCAAGTGATCTCTGTGCTGATAACGTTTTTAAAGATTATTCAGCCTTACAACTTAAGTGAGGGCTTCACGTGGCCGTGTCATGCTGTGCTGGGGTTGCCCTGGTCCCCACACTGTCTGAACACGGACACAGCCCCGTGGGGGGTTCCAAGCCTTGAGCAAACCCTCGAGAAGGGGCTGGTTTGTGGGGAGACCCAGCAGTAACCAGTGAAACCCCCAAAACCTTAAAAAAAGAAAGTGGAAAACTTGATGCAAGTGTAGGTCGAGGCACACAGAGGATGCTGTGGTGGGATCAGGACCCTTCCCAGCTCTCCTAGGCCCTCTCTGGAGTGTATCCTGCCCTGTCTCCATGTGTGGGACCTGGCAGCGCCAAACCATACGAATCAAGGCAGTGAGTGAGTTAAAAACCACCAGCTTGGACTGCCAACCCTCTTTAGCTCAGCCTGTCTCCCCAGGACTTCCTGCCACTTGTCACTTCAGAGCTGGGGACGTCAGACTTTGTCACGCAAGACAGAATCGCTATTAATGGGTTTCTTTCATCAGAACAACCTGAGCTTTTTAATTTCTGCAGCGGTTGGCTCCATTAAAAGCCCTTCCCCATCTACCCACAGCTGTCACGGAGAGGAAACCAGTGCCTTCAAGTGAACAATAGCTCATACCTTAGAGAAGAGGAAGGTGGTTTCTAGCTTAACCCAAGGACTGACTCAAAGCCTCCCGAAGCCAGTGGGCGGGTTTTCACTCCACTTCAAACAGCTCCAACCACCTCATCCCAAGAAATCCGGCTGAGGAGTCTTAATCGCCCCGACCTGTGAATTTTGGGGCACGAAACCTGCTGTCTGGGGGCTGGAGACTTCCAGCTGGGCTAGCACCGGCTTGCAGGTCAATATTTATGGAAACAACAGAGCTTAGAGCGATCAAATGATGGCAGCTACTGACCCCGGGCACTTCTTGTCAACAGCACGAGGGTTTTAACGCTGGATCGGGTTTCTGAATGAGTTAACTCCGATATTGAACATGACATGATGTAAACATTGACAGATCACCTACGATCCTGATGTAATAACAAGATCGGTATCAGCATATCAAACAAGCGATCCCATTGAACACTTCCCAGCTGGAAGAGTCGAGGTGAATTTGACACTTTAGGTCAGTAATAAGAAGCATACTGGAAGTTTTGGGTGTTTCCTTGGAATGCAGACAGCGAAACAGTGTGTGCCACACTGCAGCCCAGGAGCTCAAAAGCTGTGATTTAAAGCCATGCTTTCTGCATTAAAACATCACAGAGGCCAAACAGACCCTGCTCTTCTTTCTAGGAGTTTGCAACCTGATGTGGCTTCCCAAGCTGCGACCCGGATGGGGTTTCCAGGCAGTGGAGGGAGGAGTTCCACAGTGTTCACCAAAAGCAGCTGATTTCCCCAGATTACTGAGATGCAGAATAGAAAGTTGATCAAAAGTAGAAAGGGGTTTTGGGAACCTGAGTGGTGCCAAAATCTGAGAGACAGATTTGATTTGAGAAAACACTCTTCAGGGTGCCTGAGGGTCATGGTACCCTGATTTAGCTGTGGTTAGTTGTTCAGTCATGGGAGACAAGGAGCTGCCTGGTGGGTTCAGATTTGGGTGTCACGTTTGTCCCCATCCCCTGTCATAGCCCTTTGCTACCAAAGGGTGGGAGAGCAGATGGTGGGAAGTGGCTTGGCCCTCCCCAGGAGCCTTGCTGCGAAATGCTGGCTGCAAGATGGAGCAAAGGAAACACGGAGCTTTTCAGCTCTGGGGGATGTTCATTAACACACACGTTTACAGATAATTTCCTCAGCTCCAGTGAGGAAGAGACAAGAACCAGGAGATGGTAACATGGGCTGGGACATCAGCTCGAGCCATCAGCAGCCACTCATCCACCTCCAAAGCAAGGCTCCAAATATCCCACCGGCAAGATCCCACCATCCTCCACTCAAGGCCCTGCTCAAATATTCACAGTCAAACTCCAGGGCTCAGCCAAGCAGGAGCTCACCAGGAGCAGTCCCTGCACACAACCCCGGGGCTTAGTCTCTACATGTCCGTGAGAATGGACCACAAGAAAGCGATCAGCAGTGGATAAAACTCCACTCTCAATGTGCAAAACACCTTTCAAATCCCTCTTTCTAGCCCTCAAAATAGGTACTTCAGAGAGACACGCCAATCCTCTACAGAGGGTTGAATTTTTTCCCAGTCTGAGTCTCGACTAGACTATCAAGTCCCAGCATGTGCTCCAGAAAGAAGCCACATGTGAAAAAAAAACGCCTGTGTTATGGGAACAGCAGGCCTGTCCCTCGCAGCAGATGTTGGGCTGGTTTCATCTTCGCACACCTACAACGCGAGGCACGAACATCCCTCAAGTCTTCCCTGCAAATCCTACCTCCAGCTCCGGACTCACCACGGGAAATTCCCAGCCCAGGAGAATTTGGTGGAGCCCCACGGCCAGCGGAGGAGGGAGGGGAGGACGGCACGGAGACGGGAACCGGACGGGGCTCACACGTGACGCCTCCACGCCGGGATGACGGAGATGCCCACCCAGCTCCGGTGAGCCGGCGAGGGCCAGCCCTGCTCCAGCCCACTCCTAGAAGCCAAAACCCAGGAGTTCACAGGAGGGAGCAGGGGGGGGGGAAACGTTAGAAGGAACCGTTCTCTTCTGGTGCCGAACAAAGTCAAGCACAGATAACTCATTATTCACATGTTTGAAGTTGGCCTGCTTACGCCATTTGGAAGGAGAATCAGTCACGGCCGGGCTTTGCTTTGGTTTCCTCTGGCTTTCGTGAGACACTACAGCTACTGTCTTCCTCCAGCTTGGAGAGAAAGGGGAGTGTGTCGCAATGCGCCTCGGCTCGCATGTCCTGGCAGAGGATTTACACCGACTTGAACAACGAAAGGAAAATAATATTTAAGGGGGGGGGGGGAGGGAAAGGGAGAATTAGGAAAAAAAAAAAAAAAAAAAGAGTTCCTAATTTATAAAGCTTTTTTAGCTGGTGGTGGTCTGAGATGAATTGGCTGCTTCTAAAAGGATGAAAATAAATATCCCTCTTTTTGAAGGAAATAGGCTGGCTCCGGGCCAGCTGGCAGGAAGCGCAGAGATATGTTGCATTTACAGTAGGTTTTTTGGTGTCTGAAGCTGCAGCAGCGG